TATATATATATATATATATATATATATATATATATATATATGTAGATAACCCTTACATCAACTGGTTATAAGGATTACACCTTTTGTCCTAATTTAGCTTTTTGTGCAGATGAAGGAAATCTGTTGTATAACATTGTGTGACCAAATGTTGAAATGGTATTTAATAAATAGATTAATTACATACTTGTTAATTTATTCTGTATTTTTTCAATAATTTACAATATTTGTTTGAAATAAAAGTATAAAGTTGTTGTTCTTAGCTAAATATATCAATGTGAAGTGATATAAAACTTATGACGGATACTCCTTAACACTGATGTACTTCAAAACCGTGCGTGATGAGAGGTACTAGTCTAGCTGGCCCATTAATGACTGGTGTATCTCAGAACTGTTGATGATGATTATATGTGATTCGTTATAATATGAAAGCTAGTAGGTTTTCTTTTAAAATGTAGGGCTTAATCCCTCATTCAGCAGAGAAACAGTGAGTGACATATCATTATATACCACAAGGGATCATTACCATGTGATTGTATTAAATACAGCTTGAAAACTGACAAGTATACCCTCTTGTTCTGTAGGCTGCTGGAGATTTCTGTCTAGAACCAGAACCATATCTTCACAAGGAAGTGGATCCTTTCTTTAATACAGGTTAGTATTTATCAAGATTTTTATGTATGGTATGCCATGTTAGTTGGTATGTATCAAGCTCCCGTCAGGGTATGACATGTTATTTATCTATACGTTTATCATGATGGGTTGGTATGTATCAAGATTTTCACTGGTGATATGCCATGTTAATTTTATTATAATAGATGGATATGTATTAAGTTGTAGTCTATGACAGGCTATGTTTATTGTTTAGTTATAATACAAAAGTTGATGATTTTAATGTACTTTAGCATTTATTAAATCTTTATGACAAGTTGTTTGTGTCTAGTAGAAACTAGTTAAACTCTACAGCTTGGTTTGTTTGTGTCTAGTAGACCTTAATTAAAAACTCTACAGTTTAATTTGTTTGTATGTAGTAGAACATGGTTAAACTTCACAGCTTAGTTTCTGTCTAGTCGACCATGGTAAAATGTTACAGCAGCTTAGTTTGTTTGTATCTAGTAGACCATGGCTAAACGTTACAGCTTAGTTTGTTTGTATCTAGTAGACTATGGCTAAACGTTACAGCTTAATTTGTTTGTATCTAGTAGACCATGGCTAACCGTTACAGCTTAGTTTGTTTGTATCTAGTAGACTATGGTTAAAAGTTACAGCTTAATTAGTTTGTATCTAGTAGACCATGGCTAAATGTTACAGCTTAGTTTGTTTGTATCTAGTAGACCATGGCTAAACGTTACAGCTTAGTTTGTTTGTATCTAGTAACAGTATTAGTAATATTGGATTTATCGTTGTTGGTACACAAATAATTTAAGGACTGTGCCCCAGGTGCTCCTGCCCATAATGTTCCCAGTTTAAATACACATCTCATGTTTGCAGCCAGTTGTTGGCATGATCATCACCAAATAACATAACTGTTTTACACTCAGATATAGGTCATAGTATCAAATGCCACTGTTGTAGTAGTTAATCATTATTACCAACTAATACAAGTATTTATCGATTAGTATCAATTAACATATAAATATACTTCCCCCACTGTAGTATATAATACAGAAATAAACATTCAGGTATTTACTACCAAAATTTTACATCTTTTTCTTTCTGCATCTTGTGTGTGTGTGTTTATATGGGGGGTAAGAATCTGTTAACCTTTATTTCGTGTTAGTTTTGGTGATTTGAAGAATAAGATGCTGAATGTTTCCTCTGTCTTTTCTTGTACACAATAATGCAGTGTAGTAGTTAAATACAGTAAGACAAAATCAGAATTTGACAATGTAGAGACATTATTGAAAGTATGTTATAGTTAGATGAGACACTAGTAATTTTACATGTTTTTTGTTTTGTGTGTATTACATCCAGGTGTAGTTCAATACTACATTCACTGTGGTGAGAAGATGAAGAATCCTTTCTCAAAGGTAAGAATGTTGTGTTTTACATGCCTAAAACTTTGCTAGTTCAGTGTGTGGCATTAAATACCTTAGACTAATGTAAAGTTCTGTGAATCATGAGATAGTGAGGCTGTCTGCTCATTGATGTGGACTTGTGAGTAGGCGTTAGGGACTCAACAATTCTTTAAAACACATTATTAATTAAATCCACCAGTGAATATAGAATTAGAACACTTTTTGCTTTACTAAAACCACGTATTACCAATGATAGAAGGTTTGGGCTGCAACAAAAAAAATATATGTTTAACATTCCCTCACAGTAAAGAAACTACTATTAACAAATCATGTTTGTTTGTTTTTACTATTTATAATTCTAGTTATGTATATTAAGTCTATGTGGATTGTCTGTATGTATTCTGTTAAAGTTAGTAAAACGGTGTATTTTGTTCGTTACACAGTATGGTGTAAATTATAAATGGGCCATGTGTGGCAGAATAATTTCACACCAAATTCCTGTACCATAGCACTAGAGCTGGACAATTAGTGGACTTTGCTAATCAATTACATTTAACTAATTAACTATTCTCACATGAGACTTGGATAGTTAGAATAGTTAAAAACAGTAATTAATTAAAATAACTAATTTTATTAGTTGATTATTTTCTTGACATTAATCAATCAAGTTGGACAATGTTGATTCTTTTGAAAATAATTATGAGAAATCACAATGACAGTATTTTGATTAACTCAATCACCCACGAGCATTGATTCCATTGAGTAGTGTCATAACATAATTGACTACCTCTTTTTTTTTTTCAATATGGGTATCTTTTTCTGTGCAGGTTTTACTGAGTTACATTCAAAATTTAATTAAAGTATTTTATTATCATGGTATACAAATATATTTGGCAATAAATGTAGCTAATATTCAAAATGTTAATATTATATAAGTTTTAAGTTAATAATTTTATGTCATTGTTAAAAATGTATGTTCAATCTCCCATAGTATAAGAATTTTAACGTTTGCTCTCTGGGTATCCCCTCTTTTCTATTTATTTACCACCCCTCTGAGAAGTATGAAATTTAAAGTAAATTACTAGTAATATTGTTATCACTTAGGAAAGTGATAGTTACAGGACTGAGAAGTATGAAATTTAAAGTAAATTACTAGTAATATTGTTATCACTTAGGAAAGCGATAGTTACAGGACTGAGAAGTATGAAATTTAAAGTAAATTACTCGTAATATTGTTATCACTTAGGAAAGCGATAGTTACAGGACATTGTCTGTTTTTTTACGTGTTACTATTCTTTGTTACTTGGTGCATTATTTAATTACTCAAAATGATTTAGTGCAGTAGTACCACTAGTATAAAAAGAAAAGTAGGAATACGTTTCATTGACAGTCAACAGCAAAAATAAAAGAAGACCCTGGTAAGTACTTTATTTCTTGTTTTTTTGTGTTCTTTATTTATTATTATAAAAGTAACTAAAATGTAAAAATAAGAAACTTTTTAGGTGAAATAAAGATTAATGATAATTTTTCACAAGGTACATTTGCAAGCAACTTGCGAGTGGCCAGTGCGTTGCGTACATTGATAGGGTGACTTGAGCAGAATTTTGTGAAGATACACAAAACATTAGAAGGTCAATTTGGGGGTTAAGAACTCTGCTGATTCGACAAAGCCTGTTGCAAGAGGGTTAACAACAGAGTATGTAAAATATCTATTAATGAGTAATGCGTTCAACAAAATTAAGGTTTAATTTTGGAATGCTGGACAGTTGAACTTGGTAATACAAAAAATGCAAGCAAATTTTTGAATACCTATTTTGAATTAGGCAAACTTGCATTTAAAGTGAGATTTTATATTGAGTTTAGGTAAAACTTTTCTTTACATTGGAAGGTTGTTGAGTATATCATAAAACAAGATAGAGAAACCTGTGGTTTATTTAATTTTTGTTTTTTGGACTGATTTTGAGAACATCTTAAGAACCTGAATTTGGGCATTTTAGTTGGTAAATGATCATAAAATGACCCTAACTTAAACATATTCAAATCATACGAAACTTTTCATGTTATGCAAACATGTCACTTTTATATTTGGGTGAACTTGTTTTATGTATTCTCCGTAATTACAGTATGTGTCAGATTTAATGTCACACACCTATTTTGTCTCTAATTCTATTATAAATAAAAGTAGATGCAACTGATATTGTCACTATTATTGATAATCAGTTAAATCTTAGGTACAGATAATTGTTGTTAAAAAACAAATCAATGTTAAAAGTCATCAATTTAAAATTTACATAGCTTCACTTCACATCCCATTATGGACCAAATGGATGTGGAGTTCGCAAACCTGGTAGTTTCACTGTGAAAAAATCTGGACTTTTAAATCTCCCAGTGGATGTGAACCATGCATTATGCAGAGGTACCAACTGTAATTGAAGTAAAATGAAAATATCAGAATCTCAGCATAAAAATACAACTGATTTAATTTCTACAGTTGCTTTCCTGCCATAAGAGATACTGAAATCCACTGATTAAAGTATATGGATCTCACTTATTGTGAATGACTTAATGTATAGCCAGCCAGCTGTATATTCAAACTTAAAGTTCTGGAACATCCGTATTCTGTATCGGGCTGCCGTTTATAGTTGTTTCTTTTTATCCATTATTTGATGTTTATTATTTAGCTATTATACAGTACTTGACATTTTGTTCTTTTGTAGTTGTTTTTTCTTAACATTTGTGTTCCTGATTTTTGTGATACTTTGGTTTTGATGTAATTTCTCTCTCTAATTTTCATTGTTGTAGTTGTTGTTTTTTCTTCTTTTTCTTTCATTTATGGACATTGTTTAAGCAACAAACTTTGGGATTTTCTAATCCGTTTCTTTGAAATTCCTCTGTTGTGATGGTGATGCTTATATAACTCTTTCTACTGCTTTTTTTTTGGTTACATATTTTTTCCCAGACAGCTTTTGTTTCCAAAGAAACTAACAGGTTGTTCCTACTTCTGAATGAGCTAACTCTCACTATGATTTCTGATTGGCTAATATTTTACTTAGTGTCACAAAAGTATCCGAATCTTGTTTGGTAAGCTGCAGAAGTACAAAGCTTAAATAACTATCATACCAAAGGTGTTATTGTTTCAATTTGTCCACAACACATTTACAGGTTTTGTTTAACCCAACCCACAAAACGTGAAGAAAAGAACACATCAGACTTTAAAATTTACGATTGTTGTAACATTATTTGGGGTTAAAAACCAGAATAATTGTGTCAAAATAGAAATAGTTGGCATCTCTGTATTAGGGGTCTTAGTTTTATTGGGTATTGATTCGTAACATTATGTACTTCTAGTTAGCTTGTTGTATGGAGTTGGCTCTATTTATTTATAAGCTACTTTTTAGTTTTATGATCTACATCGCTTACTTTGGATCAGAAGTTATTAATAATTAGGAAACTTGCTAAAGTACAAACAATTTGTAGAACTGTAATTAATGTTCTGTGTGGTAAAAGAAATCTTCAATACATTAATATTATATTTGGTCTCTCAATAGTTGGAATAAGTGTGTGCAGCTCAATGAATATAAAGTTTAATCCTGTTTGCAGTTATATAGACAATACGTAGTGTCAAAGACGCTTCGTGAAAGTTATGTAGACAATACATAGTGTCAAAGACGCTTCGTGAAAGTTATGTAGACAATACGTAGTGTCAAAGACGCTTTGTGAAAGTTATGTAGACAATACGTAGTGTCAAAGACGCTTTGTGAAAGTTATGTAGACAATACATAGTGTCAAAGACGCTTCGTGAAAGTTATGTAGACAATACATAGTGTCAAAGACGCTTCGTGAAAGTTATGTAGACAATACATAATATCAAAGACGCTTCGTGAAAGTTATTTTGACAATACATAGTGTCAGAGACGCTTTGTGAAAGTTATGTAGACAATACATAGAGTCAAAGATGCTTCGTGAAAGTTATGTAGACAATACGTATTGTCAAAGACGCTTCGTGAAAGTTATGTAGACAATACGTAGTGTCAAAGACGCTTGTGAAAGTTATGTAGACAATACGTAGTGTCAAAGACGCTTCGTGAAAGTTATGTAGACAATACGTAGTGTCAAAGACGCTTCGTGAAAGTTATGTAGACAATACGTAGTGTCAAAGACGCTTCGTGAAAGTTATGTAGACAATACGTATTGTCAAAGACGCTTCGTGAAAGTTATGTAGACAATACATAGTGTCAAAGATGCTTCATGAAAGTTATGTAGACAATACATAGTATCAAAGACGCTTCGTGAAGTCAGTGGTATATTCCAAAACTGGCACTAGTCCTAGACAAGGTAATGATATTATTGTCCCATTTTGTTTAGTCTTTCAAGGAGAGCATCGCTAAGGTGGACAACCTGGAAAGGTCACTTGGTGAGGTCAAGGAGTTAGCTGAACCAAATTTTCCACAACCGAAGGTATGCACTTGATAAGTTAAAGATTTCGTATTTAACAAATTTAAACAAATGTTCCTGTTTTTTAAACTAATCATCTGTATTGCTAGAGGAGTTCTTTAAATACATGTACTAACTTTCTTAGTGCACTTTAAATAGAGTACTAATAAAAATTAGGTTTATCCAACATATACACTTACTAAGTAATCTTGAACTATATTAGTTTGTAGGAAAAGTGTTGAGTAAAATGTATTGTTAAGCTGAGGAGGAATTTCTTAAAGAAATGAAAACGAAGAGTGAGTAAGATTCAAATTGTAACAAGTGGCTCAGCTGGACCAAATGTGCTAGAGTATTTTGAATACTACAAATGTCAGTTTTTACTTCCAGTGGTTGTTAATGATGGACTTTCACCACTGAACTGAGCTAAAAAACATGTACAGTTCAGAAGCTGTCAATTGTCACTTTTTGTTGGAAGAGGAAGATTTAAATGCTCAAACTTTATAAATTTTAGAAGTAGCACACTGTCCTGTAAGGATTAAACTGAGACAAGGAAGGATTCTAACCAACAACTTTACTAGTTTTATTCTCATGTATTATTTACTTCTGTTACAGGTTTGTGTAGTTTTTTGTGTTATTTGCTTCAGTTGTAGATGCGTGTAGATCCATGTGTTATCTGCTTCTGTTGTAGGTGTGTGTAGTTCCATGTGTTATCTGCTTCTGTTGTAGGTGTGTGTAGTTCCGTGTGTTATCTGCTTCTGTTGTAGGTGTGTGTAGTTCCGTGTGTTATCTGCTTCTGTTGTAGGTGTGTGTAGTTCCGTGTGTTATCTGCTTCTGTTGTAGGTGTGTGTAGTTCCACATGTTATTTGCTTCTGTTGTAGGTGCGTGTAGTTTCATGTGTTATCTGCTTCTGTTGTAGGTGTGTGTAGTTCCATGTGTTATCTGCTTCTGTTGTAGGTGTGTTTAGTTCCACATGTTATCTGCTTCTGTTGTAGGTGTGTTTAGTTCCACATGTTATCTGCTTCTGTTGTAGATGCGTGTAGATCCATGTGTTATTTGCTTCTGTTGTAGGTGTATGTAGTTCCACACGTTATTTGCTTCTGTTGTAGGTGTATGTAGTTCCACACGTTATTTACTTCTGTTGTAGGTGTGTGTAGTTCCACGCGTTATTTGTTTCTGTTGTGGGTAGGTGTAGTTCCACGTGTTATTTACTTCTGTTGTAGGTCTGTGTAGTTCCACGTGTTATTTACTTCTGTTGTAGGTGTGTGTGTAGTTCCACGTGTTATTTACTTCTGTTGTAGGTGTGTGTAGTTCCATGCGTTATTTGCTTCTGTTGTAGGTGTGTGTAGTTCCACGTGTTATTTACTTCTGTTGTAGGTGTGTGTAGTTCCACGTGTTATTTACTTCTGTTGTAGGTGTGTGTAGTTCCACGCGTTATTTGTTTCTGTTGTGGGTAGGTGTAGTTCCACGTGACCTACAACAGAAGTAAATAATACAACAGAAGTAAATAATACGTGGAACTACACACACACGGTGTGTGTAGTTCCACGTGTTATTTACTTCTGTTGTAGGTGTGTGTAGTTCCACGTGTTATTTACTTCTGTTGTAGGTGTGTGTAGTTCCACGTATTATTTACTTCTGTTGTAGGTGTGTGTAGTTCCACGTATTATTTACTTCTGTTGTAGGTGTGTGTGTGTAGTTCCACGTGTTATTTACTTCTGTTGTAGATGTGTGTAGGAGTTTGTTGTGAACTAAATATATAACTGCTAAACTTGTCGTCTATAACGGTCTGACTAATGTCTGCGGTGACAGGCCGCTGTTTTAGGCCAAACAAATCCTATAAATAAAGTGTAACGTTTAGAAGATACAGCTTTCCAGTGTGGTTGGGATAAACAATCATGAGATTTGATAATGTTCTAATTTTTCCATTAAAAAAAGTATTTCAAGTGGTTTTGTTTGTTTATTTTATTTTATTTACTTATAATATTACGAAAGGATTAATGCGTGAACAGAGATACAACTGTTTGTATTTAAAATTCAACTCTATTTATTTGATTACGACAGAGACTGGAACTGACCTATATATTATTAGCAGTTTTCAAAAAATTCCAAGTTAATGTGGAATATTTTCAAAGTATATCCTCAACAAAGATCCATATTACTGAAGATCCCATACCTAAAAGAGCCATTTGGAGTCAAGATGCACAATATTTACGATTGCACATTACAAATAGGACCATTCATCATAGAATGACTTGGTATTATATAATTTAACATGAATCTTTGTTATGATTATTATTTGCCTCCAATAGATCAGCGGTACGTTCGTGGGTTTATAAGACTAAAATCTGGGGATAGATCCCGTAGTTAACTCACTGAGCAGGTTTGCTCTTAAAACAAATAAACAAAAACCATTTTTTCATGATAATGTAATTATTTAAAAATACGCTTTCTTCAATGACATCAACATTAATTGAGCTTATCAGAAGACGTAGCGTAAAATCCATTAGGCCATCATTACTTATCAGAAGACGTAGCGTAAAATCCAGGTAATCACTGGGGTAAGGAGATCAAGGATGGCTTCTGAGTAATGATGGCCTTAGTGGATTTTACGCTACGTCTTCTGATAAGTAATGATGGCCTAATTTATTACTTATGTTCACCAAACTAATTTCTGAACTAAAAGTCACAAAAAACCATTATGAACTAATTGTAGTGTTCTCTTTTGTAATCATCAGAATATTTTCCTAAAAGTCCAAAAAATGTATACAAATAATAATAAAAAATCCGGTCTGTGAATCCAAGAAGTTATGGTTGCTGCAAAAACTCGCTTCTCATTTTGAGCCATGGGTACCTTATAAGAGTGACAGTCAAGTCCCACAAGACAAGATTATCCAAAGAGTTGACAGTAGATGCTGTTGTGTATCTGCTTTCCCGCTAGCATATCAGCTCAAAATTAAGGTATGGCTATGTGCAGAAAACCCATTGTATAGCAGTACATAACCCTAAAACATGAAAACTCAACCAAAGTAGTAAGATCAGTAGACCTCGCTCAGAAATTGTCTTTAGCTACAATTCTACGTTCCCTGTGTGTACTTGTAAATTCTCTCAACGTTCTCATTCAGTTTCAAGAGGTTTTAATTTATTTTGCGAATCTTTTTTTTTAATATAATTAAAGAACCACCTTAGACGATTCATACCAAATCTCTTGTTACTGTGTCTCAGAAATATTGGAATTATTATTTCAGTGTTAAATCCCCCTCATTTCTTTTAGGCTACAGCGACCCCTACTGTATGCTGGGGATACAACCTGGAGATGCAACTGAGGCCAGAAGGAACAGTTCTGACGAAGAAACTAAACATGGCGGATCAAATCCAAGCCCTAGACGACAAGGTCTTAAGAAACTCGGCGCGAGTTTGAAACTTCGAGATCGTAGCCCTAGCAAAGCGTCACCAGATAGTCTTCCTGCCAAGTTCATCAGGACTACAACTGTAAAGCAGAACACTCTTAATCCGGTGTGGAATGAAAAGTTTTCCTTGTAAGTGTTGGAGTACTTTTATCATCTACATACATCTGGTATTGATTGTTAACGAAAAAATGATATAACGTAGGTATTTAGAATGAAATGAAACTAAACATCCTTTCTTGCATAACCATCATGAATGGGGTGTTGAAGACGTAAACATTATTATATTTGTGGCACGTTAAACTCCCTCTGGTGGTATCTAATGAGTACATCCAATTTTCGTAATGCTTAATTCTAGGTGTTCACTCTATCTATACACATACAAAACTTGAGCTTTTTCCAGACTGAAAGGACCAGTATAACTGGATAATTTTCCAGACTGAAAGGACCAGTATAACTGGATAATT